CCACCATAGATGCACATGCTTCATCTTTAACCTTATCACACACACCTTTCAATGAATCCATATCGGTAAAAAAAAACCCCTATCTTTCGGCTAAGCCTTATTATCCTATTATTCTGATGTTATACCACTGGTTGGTGGGTCTGTTTATGAACCATCGAAAATCTACTTGGAACAAATTTTAAAAATTTTGTTTTATGTTGTATTGATTTATTCTTATTTGACTTTTGTTTGGTGTTTTTTTTTTTCAGATAAAAAATTTAAAATTTTCTTTATAGCTGATAGTTTAAAAAAAAAGCCAAGGTGTTGCATGAAATTAAATTCCTACGTACCCCAACTTTATCATATACAAATATAAATAGACTTAACCTGACTGTTACACTGATTTTGTAAACAAAGAACCAAGGGTTGTAAAATCATTTAGCGAGTCATTTGAATTCACGGGTCCACTTCCTTTTTCTTTATAAAAGGAATTAACCATGGAATATCTTCATTATAATCTCGTATTACAAACAAATGGATGAAGCGATTCGAAAATATTGTGGCCTTCTAATGTTTGATACTCCACCCTCCTTTCCCTACAAAAATAATGGTAAAGTGAATTCTTCGTCACTAACCATCGACCATACAACATCGCTAGAGAATAGCAGCATAAGAACCCAAGACAATTTCGTTTTCACTTCCTTTCTGGAACCGATTCGCGTAAAACGTCAGAACCCAATAAAAAATAAACCTATTATCTTGGATTCAGATTCGTCGCTATTAAATAACGAGGTCGAAAAGACGTCAAATTTAGTGCAGCCATCTTCTGAAGACAGGACTCCTCGTCCTCCAAATGCCTTCATATTATATAGACGCTCTAAACAACCCGAAGTAACTCGGGAACATGGTAATATATCTAATGCAAGGATATCCAAAATTCTTGCCAAGCTTTGGAGAGAAGAAGATGAAAATGTAAAACATTATTGGCAAAAAATGGCCGATAAAAAAAAAATGGAGCATATGTTAGCTCACCCTGGATACGTCTATCGACCAAAAAAACCTGGCGAAAATAAGAAAAAAAAGAACCATCGTAAATCGAAGGCCACTCCGAAAGAATCACCTGGTCCATTGATTCCATTATGCCATCCTCCCGCTCAAACTCAAAATTCCTTCGTTTTTGATTCACCTCAAGACCCTACCATCATTTCTACGGATTCTTCCTCTCCATACATTCTTTACGATAATCATTTTGAACCTTATTCCCAAATCACGCCTATCTTTTCAACAAACGATATCGACAATTATGTATATAGCAATTATATCGATTGTAACGATTATAATGTTTATAATGATTACAATGACTATAATAATTATAATGATATCGAATCAAATAATTTATTTGATGTACAACAATATCCAATCGATCAAAACATCATTTATCCATATGAACATAACTTTTGTTAAAGTTCTGATTTTTCTCCCGTCTTCCTTTTTTTTTCGTATTCTAAATCCATGTAAATATATGCAAATTTGACCAACATCGTATTTTTCGGTCGTTTTTAATTAAGTCTACACAAAATTTTCTTAATGCGATCTTGTTTTTTTTTTTTTCCTACGTATAGGAATTGTGTATCGATTCGTTACCTTAATTTGTAAAAATAATTTCTCCTTCTATGTTCATCCATTTTTTTGCATAATGGACAATAAGACACGTTACATAATTTTCAAATATTGGCTATGGTTATGTATGTATATACGTACGTATAATACAATCTTAATTTTGTAATTTAATCACGTGGTTACTTCTATCCAACTATGTATATATATATATATAAAAATAAAGAATTCGTTTTACGTATTAGTGTCGGCGTAAATAACTCATAATTGATTCTTATATAATTATATGAAATTCTAGTTTGACCCGGGTCAAACTCACCAAAATTATTACTAATACATACCGATATGATTAAATTTAGTCATGTATGTAAATCTATAACTTATCGGGTGACTTTTATTTGAGTGACGGAAAGGGAAAACTTGTAAATTGATTCAATCGATCCTCTGCAGTATAAGCGACTCCTTTAATATAATGGTTTATTAACATTAATGAATTGATTATAAAGTGAGTTCACCTATTTTGCTCGAGATAAATCCATTTGATGATGTGCTGTCGAAACAACTTGAATACGAGTGCGTGAGAGTGAAAACCTAGAAATAGATTTAATGATTTACTATGATTGGTTACAGGTTTTCACTCTCACGCACTTATATCAACTTTATACGTACGTAATTGACAACATATAATCATTTCGATAAAGTTAACCGTTTCTTCACGATTTTGTGTCACCTACCTTTTATAACAAATCATTATATTAATATTTGCCCGAATTACTGTATTAATATTTGTCGCGTTATTCATTTGTGCATCAATCGATGCCTTATTTTGAATTTATATACATATATATCTGACACACACATATATATATATATTATACGTAGAAAACATCATGCTCATCTAAGTAATAGTAATGGTATCTCACTAATCTCCATTATTAAATAAGGCTTTGTACAATGTTCAAATGCTAGTGAAGATTATCGAAAAATGGACAAACATGTGTAGATAACTACCCGTAGAAGCGTTAACCGTGGTAATTATCTAATATAAAAAGTATTATATTTTTATTATTTAAATAAATATATACTACAACCATATAATAAAATTACATTTTAATTTAAATAAATATATACTACAACCATATAATAAAATTACATTTTAATTTAAATCAATTTATTAAATTATACATATTAGCTAATTTCGACTTTATATTGTTGTTTTTTTAATAAATTGGGTAACTAACGAAACGTAAATTA